CAATCGAAAGATACCGATGACATTATATAATAAAAGTGTTTTTAGATTTTTGATTCTGCTTTTAAATTCTGAGTAATTTTAATCTAAAGTTTCAAGATGTGAAAACTCGAGATAAAGCTAGTGGTAGCGTCGTGAATTTGACATCGACATGAACATATACACACATCAAGTATCATGTCATCATGTCAAACGGTTATATTTTTATTTTATGCACTTGGCGTCGCGACGCTACCGCGTCGCTTGATTTAAAATAATTTTTAATTTTGTCACATTGAAAATGACCCGATCGGAGTTGAAACGTTGTATTATATGTATGATTGTTTGAATTAAATAGTTCGTTAATTTACTTGGCTCTTTGCCCTTTTTATATTTACATTGTTTTATACATATAGAGCCTTATTAATTATTATAATAAATAATTGAATATAAAACTAATATAAATAATTAATATAAAGATGAAATTGACATCAGATTTTATTTCTCGGTTGTGGGTTGTGGGGGAGCTCACTATGATTAAACATCATTTGATACTTTTTATTTGATATTCGGATTTCAATAGGAAGTTGCTAGGTCCGCGCTTGGCGCTGCAGTCGCCCAAGAAGATTTTTGACTATATGGACTGCTAGCAGCAACTTCAGACTGGTAGCTAACCCATGCAATAGAAAGAGAAGAATATCTGTCAACATCTCCGATGTTAAGCCCCGCCCTATCGACCAAAAGCGCAGGAAATTCGAATGTACTTTAAGTTGTATCTATTATAAGATACTTATATTTTAAGTTTAACACGTAGAATTAGTTTAGTTTTTACTAAATTTGTAATGTGTACTGTGTATTATACGTTATTATCGTGTAAACAATGAATATTATTCTAAAAATTCTTAATTTAATGTTTACATAAAACATATGTAAATGAATATTAAAATGATAAATATTGAAAAATTTAAAGATAAAAATAAAAGAAAAATATAAAAACAAGATTATTTAATCTCATTTTAAATAAATAAGAGGTAAAATGTGAAATATACAAAGATTAATATAATAAAAATAGGTTATATTATATAAATTTAAAAAAAATTTTGTGCATGAAATAGAATTTGTATATTACACAATGCAAACTAATAACACTAGGATAGTTTGCAAATTTTGAGTAATTTTTAATGCAAAAAGGAAATAACTTTTTTACGTACTTTGAAATGCTAAACTATTTGGATCTGTCGCAAGAAGAATTGAATCGAAATTTTAAAATAGCATGTTAGCGTAACACGAAATAGATTGAAATACATTGAAATAGAATTTATGAAAAAATTATCATGAAAGCAGTATTTAAATACTGCACATCTGTCATGTTTAATTTTTTAATTAATCTAATTCTTTTCAAATGATTAGAGTACAACAAATGATGAGCAAGGCGAATCACTAGAATTCGATGATAATTGAGAAACGTTATCAGAGGGACGCAAATGTTAGATGGCTATTGCTGGACTTCAATACATAAATTAGCTCCAAAGTTATATAAAAAATAAAAGTAAAACGATCAACACTTTTAAATTTGCACCTGTGCGTCAAAGGTGTGCATATGCATTACATAAATTACGTTTAGAATCCTTGGGACCCTGAGCACGTCAATTGTGAATTGTGAAATTAGTTCACGCATTCCTTCATTGGTTGATGGGGGCGCGACACATCTTGACATCCAGTCTGAAGTTGCTGCTAGCAGTCCATATTATATAGTCAGAGAAGAAGATCGGGAAAAAATAAGAGATATCCACATGAATCCTAAACAAATATGTATGTAGGTTCATTCCACGTATTTTTGTCCGAAATAAATGAATCTAAATGAGAAAAGGCATCGCTCTCTCTCTCTCGTGAAGCGAGGGTATTTTATTTCATTTTACTAAATTGATGCGGTAAAATAATTACCGTAGACAATTATCTGCAGATTTAATCTGCAGAAGTCATATCTTTTAAAATCGATAATAATACACTAATTCACTTTTAAAGAGTTTATGAAGAAAACACATTTAAACTTTACATAAACTATCTGTTTTTAATATTTCTATTGATCAAATATATCACAATTATACATATGTTGACATACAGGATTCGTGGGTCATCGAAGTAGTTCTCGTACGATTGCCAAAGTTAAGCATGCGAGGTGTGATACAACATGAGGATGGGTGATCGTTTGGAAGTATCATGAAATTAAATCTCGAAATTAGAGAAAAACTTTCCTTTTACAATTTTGATGATGCTAAAATATGATGCTAATTAGTAATACTTACTTTAACAAAATAAAACTAGATTAATTAATTTTTAAATATTTCAATGAAACTCTTCTTTCCATATAATAGGAATTCGGCTAATAAATCTCAATGGATTCTTACAAGTTTTCCTGACCGGTATCCTATTTAAAAGTAGGACATTTTCTAATCGGATTCTAACGAGATTTTTTAAACAGAATCTACTAGTAACTATAGGGAAAACTAACCGAAATCCTACTTAAATTTTTACATGGGTGTTCTTTGATGCGGATTTTGAGTTTTCTTTTCGTTTGGTCTACATATATTGCGTTACATTCAATACAATTGATTTTGTATACGACATTACATTTCAAATAAATTTCGGTGACATTTTTTTGTATTTTAATTATTTTTCTTCACGCGTGCACGTAATGTGCCTTACACCTTAACGCTTTTGCGTGCAGTAAATAAACAATACCTCAAGCCGTTAAGTTATTTCTCTAATCCCACTCTTCTGCGCAAAAACGTTGCTGTATAGGGCACATTACGACGAGCACTTGTAATGAAAAATTCTATGTGTAACAGTGGGGGCATATTTGTTTATAGGTCGGCACGGACGCTCGTACGTAGAGAACCTCTAGGGGTGCGTTCCAAAACTCGACTCTGTCAACTCTGAGTATCTTTCATCTTTGTTGTTCGCCGAATGTTGAACAAAGATAAAAGATACTCGGAGTTGACAGAGTCGAATTTCGGAACGCAACCAGTAGAGAGAATCGCCAACTTGGTCACGTGACCAACTACGTGATTGGCTGGAGGAAATGAGCAGATTTGGGCATCTCGATGCCAATGCATTGACGTCAGAACACATGGCAGCCCCATCCTTTGCGGATATGTGCGAACCATCGACATATAGTACTGGATGGAGCATGCGGCGAAATCTCTTTGATCTTTCGTGTTGACGGACCTAGAAAGAGTAAGGTAAATGTTTGGGCACGGAATTCTCTTTCTACTATTGTCCTATTGGTCGAATTGTTTTGCAGGAGAGGGAGGACAGTAACGTATTCTTTAAAGTCAGGAGCCATTACAGAGGTATTATTACGCAGTAATACTATACTGCGGTGCAGATTAAAATCGGAAAATTATACACATTATATTAGATACAAAATAAAATTGAGTAATATGGTTTCTACGTGTATTTTATGTAAGACTAAGACTTTGAGTACAGATGTGTCACTGGGCCTTTGATTACATGATTTACTACTACCCAAACATCATTCTATTTCTTTCTAGGTCTGTCAACATGGTTTGGATGCTATATTCCGTCCAGTACTATATGTCGATGGTGCGAACGATGGGGCCCCCATGTGTTCTGACGTCAATGCATTGGCGTCGAAATGCCAAAATCTGCTCATTTCCTCCAGCCAATCACGTAGTTGGTCACGTGACCAAGTTGGCGATTCTCCCTACTAGAGGTTCTCTACTCGTACGCACTTGCTTCGCTCGTGCGCTCGCGCCCGGCCACGCTATAAACAAATATGCCCCACTGTTACACAATGTACTATTGTTCAACTGATTTAATCCTTTATCCAACGGTGAAAAGTGATTTGTTAACACATTTTGCTGCTTTTCTGATACATTTTTTATGCACATAAGGCAAAACAAAATACTTTTTATCGTTAGAATCGTCATTATTTAAAGTGTTATTATTCCTGTCATTATTATTAACAGTAAGTTTATTAAAAAATTTTTTTAATTTAACAGT